ACAAGTTAAGTTTTGTTGCAAGCACAAGTGATTTACTTTCAAGCTATTCCGGTATAGAGGTGTTATTGTTCCTTATCTTCTCTCTCTTTAAATTCTCATGTTAAATAATTGATTCGTATGACCTATATTGCATATATATGACCTTGTCTATGTATGTCATGCGTGTGGATGCTTAGTATTTTGTGGCATTTTAGGGAGGAATCATATGCTGCATTGTATGTGACTTTATTTGAAAATCTGCATTTTTGTCTACTTTGGGTCGACCAAAACAGAGCAGAGGTCGACGCACGCTATATACTTTTTGTATTTATCAAAAATCAAACAGTACGCGTCGACGCATGCAGGGTTATGGTCGACGGTTCGCGCAAAAATTCAGTTTTGTTACTTAAAAATCGCTCCATCTTCCTGCATCATACTTTCTCTTCTCATCAATTTTGCATTTATTCACATTCTAGTAAGTTGCATCTACTTTACCCTAGTGTCTCTTGTCCTTTCCTCTTCCCCAAAAACCTTAATCTTCTTCTAACCATAAAAAGGGTACTCAACATCATCTCCAAAACACTTCAACAATCTTCTCCAAATCATTGCTCTCCACCTATCCCATATCTACTATTCATCATCCATGGCTTCTTTCACCCGCAGATATACCGGCAAAAGATCAAGAGCTTCCTCATCTGCTTCTATTCCTATTACTGCTGTGTCACTGGTTCCGCCATCACTTACCGATAACTTCAACAAAGATATTAGCAAGAGAGGGGTTGTCAAGCAACATGCATTCTACAAAGCAACAGCGGAACGCATGCATCTCACCCAAATCATGGCTCTGCTAGAATTTCAAGGCTTCGTCAACTTTCTTGAGTGCAACACCAAATACAGTGAAGACTTGGTGCGTGTGTTCTACACCTGCATGCACGACAAGTTCCGTGGTCAGGACTTTCACTCCATGATCGACACAACAAAGGTAAATTTGAATTTTGTTGTGTGGAGTAAATATTTTGATTTGACAGTGGCTGCTAACTGATGTTCACACCGTAGCTGGATATGAGTTCAAAAGTGCCTTAAACGATATGCTGAAACGGCCGTATCCAGAGCATATTGTGAACAATGATGCGTTTCCCAGGACAGTTATTGCTGGAAAACTAAAAACAGGTGAGCGCATTCTTCAATGGATTGTGGCTCGCATTTTGCGGCCAAAGAAATGAGGTCTATCCAGAGTTGAACAGGCTGAAGTGCATCTCATGTACATTTTGAAAAATAGGATCCAAATCAACTGGCCCTACTACATTGCCAGTCGAATGTTTTCTTTGAGAGATTCAGGCAGAGGAACTGCTCTAGCCTATGGGTCTTTTATTTCAGAGGTTCTCAATGCAGCTGAAGTTGTCTATCCATCATTTCCTTGAACCTCCATTTCTTCTGACAAAGAATTCAGCACGAAAACTTTTGCCATGATGGGCTATTTTTGGTGTGATGAGCGACGATCCTACAAGTTTGTTCGCAGGACAACTATTCCTCCAGTTGTTGAAGAATCTGATGGTAGTTCTGAAGGGGAAGAAGAAGAAGAAAACCAAGCGGAACAGGCAGAAGAAGAAGAAAATCAAGAGGATCAGGTTGAAGAACCAGCATATGGGGCACAGGACAACTACCACCAACCAGATCAACATGAGTACACAAATATTGATTGGCTTCCTCACACAACTCAACCTGAGGAAGACGAAGACGGATACAACAATCAAGGATGGGGTGAGTGGCAGTACACAGGCTGGACCACTCTGGGACAATACTATAACCCATATCATGGATATCCTCAAGACTATCAATCTCCTCAATCTCCACCATCTCCTCCGCAATCAGACAACTCCGAACTTCTTCACATGATGCATTCCATGCAGTTGGAACAACAAAATTTTATGCGACATCAAGATGAGCGCATGGACCAACTTCGAACTGAGCTACAAACACAAAATGAACGGTTGAACTCTTTTTCCACAAGGATGGATGCCCATTTTGAGGCTCTTGCTGCATCAAACGAAAACCAGGAGACGACCATATCTGACAGCCTCCATCGTCTAAATTTATCTGTGGAAGCATCTGTCTTATTCTCTGACCCTTACCGCAATCCAGATGTTGGGTTCAGGGGGAGGGGAAGGCGTCATTAGTTGCATATTCTTCTTTATTCATGTTGAGTTACTTTTATGATTGTCATGTTTGCTTTGCAATGTCATGCCCATTTTGGATCTTTAATATACTTTCTCTATGTAGTATTATTTGTGTTACTCCTTCATTATCAATATTATGTGTGAATATTGGTGACTGATTACTTATTACCTGTGGAGTGTTTTGTTATTTGTTATTCTGTCAACCTCTACCTTCTCCATCTCTTTTTGATGTTGTCAAAGGGGGAGAAAAGCCAATTAGATCACAACAGCTACAAACAACTCTTTTATTCATGGATTGCAAAAGAAAGGGGGAGCTTATGTTACTATGTTAATAACATTGCAATGTTGTTCTCACTAGCTTCGCGCAGGTTGTCATCATAAAAAAGGGGGAGTATGTGAGGGCAAACTGTCTCACAACATATGTTCTCAAGTTTCGATGATGACAAAGCTCGGACAAATCGGACAAACGCAATACTTAACATACCATATCCTTCCTATATCTCTTTAACTCGTCATATTATCATTAGCAATTTATGTGATTAATGTTTAGTCGTGACAAGATGCACGAAACAAAAACTAGATCATTTTTGCAGATTTTGAAGCCTTGAGTCGACCATCAGTCGGCGCATGGATTCGTCACTTTTCCACGGGTCAGCGCATGGAAACCTTGAGTCGACCATCAGTCGGCGCATGGAGCTTTTGCATTTTCCACGGGTCAGCGCACGCCGACCTATGGTCGACGCGCACTACTGGGATTTTTGAACTGTCTAAATTTGCAGGCTATGCGTCGACGCATAGACCTGCTATGGTCGACCGCTCGCGCGTTGATACAGTTATTGAAGGCTTTTCACTGTGTTTAAATTTCTGTTGTGTTAGTTATGGCTTACTACTATAAATAGAAGGTTGCTTTGTTTCAACATATAACAATATCAATTTTGAGTATATTGTGCAAACAAGAAAAGTGAAATAGGTGCCAACATTTTTCTTCATCTTCATCCTCAAACAACACACAACACTACAATTACACACAACCATTCTTGCAGTGATTTGTGTCTCGTTCGAGGTGATAAGGTTTGAATCCGTTGATTGGAGATCCGGTTCGGGTGGAGAATTGCGGCAGGTTTTTCTTGAATAAAACCTTGAAGGTTTTGCCCTTTAAGATTCTACGAATTTGGGGGGTTTTGTACGAATTGTTCCTACCAACATTCAGCGCTGCGAAGGTGATTGAGAAACGGAAGATTTCATCAATCTAGTAGCTGGGGCTGTGAAGTGTTGAAAGGAATTTCGGGTTCGATTTGTTGGGGTCTAAGATCAGCCGGGCCGAGGGTTGAAGAACTGAAAGGTATTCAACAAATGGGCTGGAATCAGAGGTCAATTCACAACAATCGAAGGGCTTGATTCAACTTGAATCAAGGAGCAAGAAGCGATAGCATCATCAACTTCGATAGGGATTGTTTGTATTATTGCTTATCAATTCTTGTATAAACAACTACAAATTCTACAGGTGATATCTATTATAAATCATCTCAATTCTAGTTTTAGAATTGAGGGCAGACGTACCCCGAAGCGAGGACGGCGGGGGAACTGCCTCAACAAATCTTTGTCTCCTTTACTTTTTCAGTATTTTCAGTTTCAGCTTAAAAATTAAGTGATTTTAGTTTAAGCAAATTTATTGAGTATTGAAGTTGGTAAGTAATTGGTACTGTTTACACTCTAGTATACAAACATTTGTACAAGGGGTTTAGAGTTACTTACTTAAGTCAAAATTCACTTGGAGTTTTTCGCACACCAAGTGTTCGATAAATTGCCTGAACCAAAGCTTACTTAATTCTCTTGCTCTGTTTTGTGGGCTATGTTGAGCATTGGTACTAGCACTACTAATCTGTGGTGAAATCAATTGATTAGTGTGACTAGTGTGTTGAATCTATTTTGCTTAGACGTAATTTTCCAAGGCCGCTTCCGCACTTTAAACAAATTTTTAAAACCTATTTTTAAATTGGAAAGCGCCAACTCAAATTTTATTTGGGATCTATTCAACCCCCTTCTAGATCCGAGTCATCGTCAAACAGATAACAAATTTATTATAATAATATACTTATTATAAATAGTCTATTACATATGTGTATTTCTTAAAAATTGTTAATCTTTATTGTCTAGGTGATTAGAGAAGTAAATTTTCATAACTTTTTTTAGACTAATTTATAACAAAAGAGTGTGACCCACTTGTGAAATGAAATGCGTACAAAAGTATATTCAAATTTTAGAGGGACAATTTTAGATTTTTATAGAACAGCTATTCACCACTAAAGATGGAAGAACTGCCCTTGAGAATGATATGACTTCTCAATCTGCCTTCCCATAAAATGCAGCTCTTAAGGGGTAAGTTTAGCTATTTTTACTTTAATTTCCTTTTTTCTTTCAAAACAACACTCTTCTTCTATATTTAACGGAAGTGGTTTTTAACAACTATAAGAAATAGGAAAAGGAGTTCCCTAATACAAATAAGAATGAAATGACAAAATTTAGTTACATTGTGATTACGGTTGTTTAGACAAAAAAAAAAAGTGCTGTAGGCTGGGAGCAAAATCATTTCGTGTGATGCTCCTGAAAGTCGCAATGAGCTAGCTATCCAATACTTGTGGTGTTCTTCACAACAGTTGGAATTATCATACCAATAAGAGACCTTATACCTTCTTTACACTTCTCTTCTATGACATGAATGCTTAGTGGCCTAGTAGAGGCTAACTACTCAAAATAAGAATACTATTATCATGAATTAATATTAATAAATAAATTAAATCATAAAAGTTTAATATTTCTAATCAAATAAAATACATAGATACCTCATAATTGTTCATTACGTGATTTCATGTTCTGACATCGTTGAATGATGAGCTCATTGTCAATAGTGTTGAACACATCTTTCTCAATGTAAGTTACTATACAATCATTTGTCCATTCATCGGCTATCCGATTATGCAACATATTCTTCACAAATTTCATAGAAGAATAGGCTCTTTCAGTGGTTGGTGTGGCAACAGGCAAAATCAGAGCTAACTTTAGAAGAAGATAAACTAATGGGTAAACAATATGTTTTCTAGTTTTGACCAACTTCTCTGAAAGATCATTGATTTCTTTTAAAGATGCAAAATCAGCATCACGACGCACGTCAATGATGTAAGTTTCAAGTTCATTATCAAGCATTGTTAAGTCCGTAGGAGAAAATTCATGTGGATAAAAACTTGCAAATTCCATCACCTTTGTCTTATCAAATGCAGAGAACTTGTTGGTTGGACTCAAACAAGCCATAGAAAGGAGCAACCGAGTATTTGTCTCAGTGAAACAATCATTAAGTTCATGAAGTTGCATGCCCACAACAGTATAAAATAATTCAACACGATAGTGATGCTCTATTGTGATAACTTGAGCTTTGCCTTCGCGTCGTGACTTCCCCTTAGAACAAAATATATCTTCCATATGAGGAACATTAATAGCATGCATATTACAAAATAAAATTACTTCTTGCAATAAAGACTCCCATCCTTTACTCCTCATAGCTTGTAAATTTTGCTTTGTGATGTTAACCAAGTTCATAACATCATCAATATTTTGGTCTTTTCTTTGCAATGCTTGTGACAATTCATTTGATATAGCCAAGACATTTTTCATCAAATGCAATGTGAATGCAAAATCAAACTCCTCAAACAAAAGTAAAAGACCATTGGCTTCAGCTCTTTGATCTACATTTAATCCATCTTCTTTCATAATTTCAAGAACATCAGTTATAGCCGAATACATCGTTATCAAATTGACCAGAGTTGCATGATGTGAACTCAAACGAGTATCCATAGTTCGTTTGAGAATAGTTTCTTGATACAAACCTTGTCCACTAGGAATTTCTCCTATTTCCAATGTCTTTCTAACATCGCCAATTTGTCTTTCACGAAGCATGTCATGTTGTTTGCATGACCCCCCAACAACATTCATTAGAGTTGACACGGATTTAAAAAAAGAACAAACTTGTAGGTGATTTTTGGCAATAGCAACTAAGGTAAGTTCTAAGTGATGAGCAAAAGAGTGTACATAAAACGCATATGGGTTCTCCTCTAATATCAAACTTTTGAGACCAGAAAATTCTTCTTGCAAGTTGCTAGCACTGTCATAACCATATCCACGAATTCTTGATATACTAAGCCCGTGTTTGCAAAATAATTCATCAATTTGCATTTTAAATGATAAAGCTGTAATGTCTTTAACATTAACAATACCAAGAAAATGCTCAACAACACTTCCCCTTTTGTCAACATAACGCAAAGCAACAACCATTTGCCACTTATTTGATATGTCACAAGCTTCATCAACAAGAATACCAAACAATTCATCTCCAAGATCACTAACAATAGCATTAGTGGTTTCCAAAGCAGCTACACTAAGAATATCCTTTTGAATTGTCGGAGTGATCAATTGATAATTTTCTGAAGTGTCCCCCAAGACAAGACTTCTTGATTCTTCGCATTCAAAAAGAACTTTAAGAAGTTCAAGGAACTTACCTTGATCGGCCGAATCAGTTGATTCAAAATCACACAAAGCTAAACCTTGCTTTAGTAAATAACGAATGCAATCAATTGTAGTTGCTAAACGGCTCGGATGCAGATCACAAACTTGTGCAGATTGCTTATTAGGCGACGCCACTTGATTTTGTTTCATGAAATCTAAACATTTCTTCCAAGCAATGTTATGAGCACTATTAGGACCTCCCGCATGAGATGCAAGCCTTTCTTTCTTTTTCCAATTCGAGAACCCCTCTGTCACAAATGAATCACCACCTACATTCTTTCCGAAATCAGACTTAAAAAGATAACAACAAAAACAAAACGCTGCATCTTTTTCTATGCTATACTCTAACCAATTTCCATACTCAATATACCAAGACGGGCAAAATCTCCTTAAACCACTTCCAATTTTCCTCTGGGGAAAAGTGTGTTTTTTAGGTTGAAATGGTCCTCTTTGTAAATAAACTTTTCGTATCTTATCTCGATCTTTAGGAAGATATGCTGACATTTTAATCCGCTCTCCGGGATCTAATGGCAACTCATCCAAATTAACTTCAATTTGTTGCTCTTGCTCGTGAGAACTAAATTGTAGCTCATTTGATGGTAATTTCCTCTTCAAAGGTAACTTCTTTTTGAAAAATCCTTCCATTATCTTCTAAAATATATAAAAAAAAAAAAAAAAAAAAAAAAATTAATAACAGTCAATTTGAATTCAACTCAAACCAATCAATTTGGTGAACTAACACAACACTCACCAAATTTAGGCATATAAAAACCCTAAAGTTGTGATTTTTTTTTGCACACAAAATAACAGTGGCATAATCGGAAGAAACATTCGGCGAAACAATTCTCTAAAAGAAAGATTACAAGCAGTGTGTAACAGAGGTGATACCTGAAGAGAAAAACAAGATCAATGGCGTCGTAGGCGTAGAGGTCTAGAACGGATGAAGGAAAGAACGGCGGAGGGGAGTCAAGTGAGATGAGAGAAAACCAGAAACAATGTCTGTCTAAAGGGAGGTGAGAGTGAGTTTAGAAATATTGGGCACTTTGTTTATTTCATATTTAGGTATTCTAAAATCCAAATAAGAAAATAGAAATCTTATAGAGTATAATTAGTGGTTGTTTTTTATGGGTTTTTTTTATAGAATTTTTTATTGCATCTTAAATGTTTGTAATGCATCCTGCGAAATTTTATAAAAGTTTTATATTTATGGAGATATATCTTCGGATGCACTAAAATGTAAATGAAGGTTGAAATATTTTGAAAATATATTTTTAAAATATTTTAGAGCATAAGTTACGTCAGACTCTTCTCGTTTCTCATTTCACAGTTTTCTTTAATCAAACACAACTTCAAACTCTCAATATACTTCCTTACACTAAATCAAATTTCATCAAGCAAGCATCAAAGGAACTCAAGAGAACATGAAGTTTCATCTATAACATCATTCAACTTCATCAAAACCATCAATTACAAGCAAGTTTTTTGAGTTTTTGATAAATTTTGAGTTTTAATGTAAATGTGTAGAAATCAGTGATCCGAGTTAGAAATGTGTAGAAATCACATGTAATATAGTTTAGACATATTGTATAACTTGTTTGTTGCCTGAAATTCGTGATCAAATCATTTTTTTGTCTGCTTGCATGTGGTACATTCGCCATTGACGCAATTTCTGAGTTGTAGTATATTTCGGAGATGCATCCCCGGAATTTTTTAGCATTTCATATACTGTAGGAAATTCCGGAGATGCATCTCCAAAATCGTTCAACGTTTTAGTTCAATGGTGCTTCTGGAGATGCATCTCCTGAATGTTTCAACTTTTTAGTTTAATGTTACTTCCGGAGATGCATATCTGGAATTTTCTTTGATATGTTTTTTTTTAATATTCTTGCTTGTGTGTGTTGTTTGTGTAAACTAATGATATGTCTTACTTTATCTTATAGGCATAATGGCTGACAGACTTGATTTGATATACTGAGACATGACACGGTTGCTCAGCACGCATCCATTTAGCGGGAGCGAAGTCAACAGGTTCCGGAGGCTCTAGGTACCTCTGGTCAGGCAGAGTCGTCGACTTCTAGGGCACCGTCTACTTCTAGGGCACCGTCTACTTCTGAGGGTCGTGCTTCACCTCAGGCCACTCCATCTTATTCTTCTTCTTCTCGTAGGAGACGGGATTCACCATCTGACGCGTCACTTTCCCCATCCTCTCATAGGCATCAGGATTCAACAGTGCCACCTCCTACGAATGATGTTGTTGTTTCAGACCCACCTCTCACTGATGATGTTGTTTATCCAGTGCCACCTCTGGAGGGTAAGTCTGATGTGAATGCAGAGCCAAAGGCTTTTGGAGGAGGTCCATTTGAGTTGTCCTTACTTCCTCTGTATCTAGGCCATACTGCCAGACATATATGGGACAGAGAGGTAGCATTATTTGGATTCTTTATTTTTTTCATGCGTTAATTTAAATTGCTGACATGGATTAGTTTTGACAAATTTTAAAAGCGTGATCTCTAGAAGTTTCTTAACCACAGAAGGAAGATTGCTGCATTGCCTCAGCGGAATGAGGATTGGTTTCAGTCGGCTTTGTCCTTATTTAGCTTGAAGAACCTATGCATTACCAATTATTCTCTAGTCAACCACGAGATGATTAATGCATTCGTGGAGAGATGGCATTTTGACACCTTGTCGTTTCATCTCCCATAGGGTGAGATGTATATCACACTAGACGATGTCTCGTGTTTGTTATATCTTCCAATCATGGGGAGATTCCTCGATCATGGAAGGATGACCAAAGACGAAGCAGTCGAGATAATGTTAGAGCATCTGGAGGCTGTTATAGAGAAAGCAGTGGAGGAGGTGGATATGACCAAGGGTGATAATGCTAGATTTGAGTTCCTGGGTATGCTGTATAAGGATCAAATTCTGAAGGCAGAGGAGACTCATGGTGATGATGAGCAGGTGGCGGTCCACAGGACGTATGCATTGAAAGCATACTTCCTTTTTTTGGTTGGCACTTCAATTCTTGTGGATAGGAGTGCCACTTAAACTGACATCGTATATCTACGATACTTCTTGGATCTATAGCGAATTCATGAGTACAACTGAGGGGCAGGTTTCCTGGTCTATCTGTATTCGAAGTTGAGAGAGGGTTATATGTGGAATACGAAGTAGGTCACAGGCAGTGTGACACTACTGATGTTAATAATTCTTGATTCTAAAATGTTTTTTGTCAATTTAATTTCATAGTTGTAAAACCATTACTAATGATTCGTGTGTTATAAACTATTTTATTTCAGGCTTGGATCCTCTAACACTTCCCACACATCGTTGGTTGGGCGAGTGTGCCTAAGTATACTAAGGATATGTCGTGTGCTACTGCTTTTATCCCGCTTAGAGGAAATCGGGAGGTCGAGCCTTTTAGAGTCCATCTTGACTATTTGGTTGCTGAGGACATGCACTTCAATAACTATGTTGATCACCGTCAGATGCAACCTTTTAAAGAGATAGTGATATACTCTGGATGGTTGGACTACGGATCATGTCTCACTACTCCTCATCTGCCTGGGCACGTCATAGCAGTTCGCGTACACGCAAACACCTTGATGTCTCTGCTCCTTTCTGCCTTGACGCGTAGACAGATAGAGGAGATGTTTAATAATTTTGAGAGTCATCTGGTACCGGGGAAGGTACAAGCTACCATAACCCTAAGCGACTAGAGCTATATCAAAGGGTACATCAGATGGTTCTTCAGGGCGTCACATCTGTACATGGTGCATGTTGTTCTAGGAGATCCACCGAGACCAGCTCATCAAGAGATACTAGAGGAGAAGCAGGCTCAACTAGATCATACTGATGATGTCTTGCCTATGTGTCGTTGTATAGTGGAGATTGCGAGACATTGACGATGGTATCTTCCATGATGGGTCTGGTGTCAGGCAAGTCCTAAATTCCATTATGGTGGAGGCACAAGGGACATTGTTGTACCAGGGACATTGTTGAAGGACGAGGGGATTGACAACCGAGGAGGTAGAGCAGACAAAAAGAGGTGGACAAGATGTTGTTAGACACACATAGTAATAGTCTCTTTTTGTTTTGTTGTAGTACTATACTCAATACTTTATTTTGACGGTCTTACTACATTTTGGATCTCGATTGTACAATATTTTCTACATATATTGTTATTTTATTTTCGACACACATAGTAGTAGTCTCTTATTATTTTGTACGTTTATTTTTTTTATTTGCGATTGTACGTTATACTTCATCTGAACACAAATAAACAACTTATAGCATTAAATACTTGTTTTGCTATATTTCGGATATGTATCTCCGAAATATTCACGAAGATGCATCTCTGATACATTTCAAATATAAATGGCTACTGAGTGGATTGTATTAAATGGTTCCGGAGATGTATCTCCGGAATATTCTAATGATTATTTAGAAATAAGTGTGTTCCGAGATGCATCTCCAGAACCATTTAATAGAACCCACTCAGAAGTCATTTACATTTAAAATGTATCAGAGATGCATCTCCGTGAATATTTTGGAGATACATCTTCAGAATATAACATTTAAATAATTTTGTGTGGTGACTAAGAACTATCTAGGGTGCATTAAGAAATTCTCTTTTTTTATAAGCAAAGGTCTTGGGTTCGATCCGTCCTTTGACACACAACATTATTAAATTCTAGATTTTAACTTGTCACTCCCCCTTCCTATACTATACCTTACACCCTCAAAAATTTGAAAATTCTCAAAATACCCTTACTAATATTGACCAATCAAATTTTATTTTTCTTACAATATTTTCACTTTTACTAACATACAAAAACAAAATTTCTAGTACACCATTTTTCGCATTTCTGAAAAATTCACGCATTTATACCGAAAATTTGAAAAAATTTGGAAAAAAATTTCAAAAATTTCAAAAAATATAGTATCCATTACCGAAAATTGCCAAAATATTCGGGAAAAAACAAAAACTTTTGGAAGCATGAGAATCAACATATGCAGAACGGATTAGGTACTGGAAAAATGAAGTTAGAAAGTCATCCTAATTTGTTATGTAATCATGTAGCACAATTTTTGTGAAAAATATGTATCTATTATATGTGATAAATTTTTTATCGGACCACTTATACAGGCCGTTGTGTCAAAACTATTGAAATTTTATGTTTTTGGAAGTTCTGGGCTCATATCAAAAATTTTGAAAATTTTAAAATTTCCGGTATTCCAAAATTTTGGGACATTTTACGTAAAATACATAATTTCCGGTATATCTCGACCGGAAATTTTGACATTTTCGGTATGCTTTTATCAAAAATAAGAAATTTACAGTACATGTCTCACGGAAGCGGTAAAAAACTGTAAATTTACAAAATTTCTGGTATAGACTCTAAATTTTCGATAACATACGATAAATTTCAAAATTTCTGAAAATTTTCCAAGGGTATAAAGGTAAATTGTTCAAAGTGGGAGGTGTTAGGTTTAAGTTTGGGGGAGGGGGGGGGGGGGGGGGGGGTTGTCAAGTTAAATGCTTATTAAATTCTTTTGAGGAAGAACTTTATCATCTACTACGGCAGAGATTAATCTATGCAGTTATGCGTAGACAATACTCGATTTCTATTAAAAAACTATAATTG